GGTATATTTCTCAGTTAAGGGATATCGGAGTCTTTGGGAGAAGCCCCAACCCCAAAACCTGATACCCTGCTAGCACCTCTCATTACCCCTTCGTAGGGGCGCTGTGTTGTGCTTTTAATGCCGGTATATAGGCTCTAATAAGGAGTAGTTGGTGGGGTGCTGGCGAACTTCCAAGCCTGAAGGTGGATGTCGACACAAACTCGGCAATCGCCGACAAGTATCGCATACAATCCATTCCTACCTTCCTCTTCTTCAGAAGACAGGTGCGCGACAGCCCGCCATGCTAGGAAGGGGGGTTCTAAAGCGCCCAAGATTCAGAGGTGAGTATAGGCTCAGTAGAGGTTCAAGCTTCTTTGGTCGAGGTCTCGATGGTTCCAGGAAGTATGGAATGCATAAGATCATAAAATAAACCTTCGATGATCTGATTGATAGACAAGCTACAGGGAATCCCAGTCCCCATCAAATACCAAAGGAGCATCCCTGGAAGTTTAAGGCTCCTTCAATTCATGGTAGGTCCAAAACCCAACTTTTCAACGTCTGGGCTCTTATGAGGGTAGTCTATTATACTGAAAGTTTGATTTTTTCAGCCCTTGGGTTCTTGGGAAGTAAGATACATACAGAAGATTGTGCAAGTACATCTCATTACCCAAATCGGTCCTTCAGGCTCCTTATACTCAAGGTAATGCAGGAACCTCGTTAAGAAACCCTGGGCCTAGCACACCAAAACAGTGGGATTCAGAGAAGGAGCGCCAGTAAAGGCCCCAGGTTGCTTAATCAGGTTCCTACATTAGACTATAGTAATTGCCAAACTGCTATTCCAGTGATCAAGCCCCCTCCCTATACGATCTGCAACCTATTGGGTTGGTAACTCAGCTTCTGGCGCTTTCCAGAACACTGAACGAGGGGTATAGGGTCTGGTCAGGGTCTGGTCTACGGTTTGGGGTTTAGGGTCACAACCTACTAATTATTGTTGGTAGGATTGGGGTAGGCAATACTAAGCCGCCGCCCGTCCTCATGAAGTCAGTCGCCCTCCCGAAACGTGGAATCCAAATCACTGTAGGGGCCTGAATAGTTCAGTTGAGCAGCGCGATCTGTTAGCTTCTAGACGCGTAATGTGAAGCCAGCCGGTAAACCTGTGCTGGAAAACCCTTTGGATGAGCACAATGAGCCACACCGAGACGCTACTTTTCCATGCTCTTTCGTCACCAGAAAACCCGAACATTCCTTGAACATGGCTCCCTTAAAGTATAGAGGCATCCTACAGATGAAGTTATAACACCTTACATTCCTTAGTTAAGTGGGTGCTCTGCGGCAAGCTTAAGCCCGAATCCGAAACTGTCCCAGAACTCTCGCCTTCAAAGTCTACAACTGACGATTTAGGGCTCTGGGTTCACGATGGTGGCTGGGTTTTGGCTGTTTTCTCTGGGACCGCAAGATAAGGTCTTGTTTAGGCTCATGTCCGTGTCAATCTATGGCTAGCTCCAGCACGTAGACAAGCTACTTGTGCCAACTGCGTGTCGCTCCGGGAACCCAGAGACTCCAACATCCTTAAGAAGGAATATACCTGAAATCATTGTTGTGATCTTACTCGAACTTAAGGTATATTCCCCTTAGTTGAGGGATGTCGGAGTCTCTAGGAAGCCCGGATGCCCCTGAGAGGAGCTTCTGGGGCGCTACGAGGGAGCCGACCCGGACAGCCTCACGCTGGAAATTCTCCAGCACAAATGACTGTCTGGTTCCTGGTAGGGAATGGGGGAATGGGTTATAATTAGGGACCCTTAAGGGGCCATCATAGGGATCTGTTCCCCCATTCCCTACCAAGCACCAGACAGATGAGTTACAGTAGGATAGAATGCGATGTTTAGCCATCTCCATCACACATGAGTTGTTAGAAGGTTGGTTTGTCATTAGTATTAAAACTGCTGATTCCAGCATTTCAACACTGTGCTATCTCCAGATAGCTTATGGTTACCATAACCGAGTACCACTTGTAGCAAAGGCTGTGTAGCCGTTCTCAACGAGCCAAGAAGCAGCAACAGACATAAATGCAGCAAGCGCAGCTACCACAACCATCACAACACCGATAGCACAGGCACCATTTTGTATTCGCTAGTTTTTCCTTCGCCTTTCGCTGTTCACCATGATCCTAACCATCGTTGTCAACATCTCCGCCGTCGTCGGCATGACAGCCGCACAATCCCTCAACTAAATCCTACTTTGGATGAAGATAAATGCTGTGTGGTCGTTTCAGCATTACATCTTTTGCGGGTAAGAAACACTGCGACAAGTCAACGCCGATTGTTTTGCTTTCCAGAGTGACTTACCGAGCGAGTCGGAAAGTGACTCCGGAGGTGTGTCTTTTGTCTTTCTCTAGTGAATTCCTGAGAGAGTTGCAAAATTCACTTTCGGAGGCCACACTAGAAACAGACACAACTCTGAACTTCAAAAATCCAAAAACCTAAACGCTGCATTTCCTATCCTGCGTGCTCATCAAGCTTCGAGGCATGTCGCGTAAGTCAAGCATATCCCAAAGGGTCCGAAGTACCTTTACAGTAGAATGTAGGGCTTCTATACTAAGATTACTATTATGATTTGGGGAAGTATCCCCATATGACTACTTTGGACCCTTTGGGTATGAACCGGGGGGCCTCATCGTCCGCGTAAGCCCTCAACCACGGGTCTTACAACCTGAGCCCGCTGCCTCCTCGCCAGCAGAAGCCCTTGAAGCCTAGAGTGGAGCCCATAGACTCTGGAAAATTAACCCTAAGGGTCCCTGACTCATATAGCATGATTATACTTTGGCCCGAAAGTATTTATATAGGGACTACTTTAAGGCCAATGTGTATACATATGTGTACACGAACCCTTAGGGTAAAGCAAGGAGATAAGGCCGGTTTGGTCTTGATTTTGGCCCTCCCTGTCAGGAAGGGCATGGGGGATTTTCCCATCTACATATTTCATTCTGTAAGACCTCAATTCAAGCCTGAACTCCAAGCCTCAAAACTTCAGGCACAGTTCCCAAACATACGAGACCCCTATCCCTGACAGACGTAAGCCCAACAGGCATCGACTTTGGACTCTAAACCCTAGCATTTTGAGTCATGAAGGGTCGAAGCAGATCCTGGCTTTCTGAAGATGCAGAAGCAGCCGACCGGTCCCTCTGAGCCCGTGCGAAAACGGCTGCTTTCCGTTCAGCGCTTGGGGCTGTTTAGGTTTCGGCTTTAGGTTTCAGGGCCTAGGCTCCTAGTAGTCGAGCAGAGTAGGTAACATTTAACCTTCTTTGAATAGTATAGTCCCTAATAATCCCTATATATAACCAAAAAGGTTAACCTTTAGTTCCCCATGATACCCGACAAGTAGGGGCTTTGATTTGGAGGATCGCAGATCTTTCTATGTTGGGAGCTTGAGATTCGGAGTTTGAGCTGTTGATCTGGGCCTGGGACAGGGGCTTCAGTACTGACCTCCTCTAATTAAGACTCGGCATCTAAGGGCTCATATTTTAAGGCTTTTGGGCCCAAAGGCCATATCATATAAGGCTTTTGGGCCATTTTGATGCGCAGGGTACGACTCGGCAGAACCCCGAATAGGGCTTGGTCGTAGGTTTTATACCCCCCAAAAGAGTCATCACAGACCCCTCCTCCCCCTTTGCTAAATCATACCTCTTCTACAACCTAGAAAGCCCGAGATATACCCCAAACCCCTTTCACACCTAAACTCCATTTTTCCACTGGTTGGCGCTTAGCAATAGCTTTCCACAGTGAGAAGCCTGTTGCAGCTGGCAAACAGGCCATCAATCGCCGAGGACGGCCTGCTGTCGTTCCGTTTGGAAGTCGACGGTTGCTTCGTGATCATCGCGGCCCTGTTTCGGCGCGTTTGGCACAGGGGACTTCGCCCTACGGTGGCAGGAGTGGTCTTGCCAACCGGTGCCAAGGGCACGAAGGTACCCGAACAGCCTGGACCTGAATGCGCCAAGCCCCCTCCCACTGGGCCTACGACCCCTCTCTTGGTCGACAAGGCCACAGCGACCGCTGCTCCAGGGCAACAGGAAAGCTGCCTGTGACTGTGGCTGGAGCAATGTCCTGGACTTGCGAGGCAGCGGTAACTGAATGAATTTGATGCAAAGCCGTGCGTGGTGCCAGGCTGTTAAAGCTTTGCTGGCAATTTTCCTCCCATTTTAATATTCCAAGAGAGAATCCATACCTCCCGCTTGTAATATTCCAAGAGAGAATCCACCGAAAATCTTCCTGGCACTATGTCTCTGTTATTGGCATTATGTTAATTAGCCCAGGTGGAATTGAAACTCGCATTGTGCAGCACAACAACCTCGCCGGGCTTGTCCGAAAATGAGCGCCGTAACCGCAAACTTTAAACCGAATACCCAAATAGGAGTTTACGAAAATTAGGGGTACCTTATTTTGGGGTACTCAGAATAAGGATCCTATACTATCCAGGATACTATATTAGGGTCCCCTAGTTTCGGAAACTCTAAACCCTAAACCCTTTATAGAACCCTTCTGGATCCCTTTAAGGAATCCTAAAAGGATACCTTAAAAGGGTCCCCTATTTTCGGAAACTCCCAAAGCCTATCAGAGCCCTGAATCTTCAGAGCAGCGAGCCCGCCGGCGTTTTTTTGGTTTCACTATTGCAACCCAAGCCCTAGATGAGCCTTACTTACAAGCCCTCTTTGTTTAGGGTTCCCGGTTTAGGATGTAGGTTTCAGTTTTTTTTTTGTGCCACGGTTCCCTAAAAAATGCGTCGTGAAAAGGGTAGGAGGGCCAACCCTGAACCCCTCCAACCCTACATTACGCCGTATCATGGGTTGTATCGGGATTCTTTCAAAATTTTTAGGGTTTAGGGTTTAGGGTTTAGGGTTTGTGACACTGCTTTATGCTTCATAAACCCTCGATCCCCAACCCCATAAATCCCACACCGCATCATTTGGAGGTTCAAGCTATGTGAAACCCCACGTGGCGGGGGCAGGGCCCGTTTGTGCCGTCGCAATGGCACCGGGCATCGGCCTCCATGTAGTCTACCACGTGCTGGCCGCTTGGTGGACAGTACCTATAGTCTCCATTGTAGTTCCTTTTTTTGGTTAAACCAATTATTTATTTAATCCTATAAAGTAACCCCTAAAAGGAACTACAATGGGGACTATGGGTATAGCATCGGGGTCTGGAATATATATCCCTTTCTAGATTGCACTACAAAGTCCTCTTACCAGCATGTTCTAACGCTAGGCCCAGGAGCCTCTATTATGCTGTTATGCTCAACTTCTGGCGTCGGATATGTTAAGCCACATGCTAAACTGTCAGCCCCCGATAACAAGAACAATTTAAACCCCCTAAACTCCTGCTGCTTGCTGCAGAACTGCACAACTGCTGGAAAACAGAGGCCCGCATGTGCAAACAGAGGCAGTCAGCTTGTCCCTAAGATGTTCGCTGTCAATTCCAGCTAAATAACACCAGACAACAGCCTGAAACAACGACTTGGCCATTCAAGACGAATGCCCAACTGTGAATGAAAGCTGTGGCCCAAACCCCCAACCCGAGACCAGAATCAAGGCCTTGTGTTGGCCAGTTTTCGCTCAGCCTATCTTGGCGGAGCCTTGGGTTGTGCCACAAGCTCCTCGCCTGCAAGTGGGCCTTGCTACTGCGGTTCTGAAACACTTGCATGCATGTATGTACGTTTGTACGCAAGTATGCATGTTTTATAAACACACAACGACATACATACATGTACACATGCATACATACATGCATGCATGTATGTACGTATGCATCTAAAGCATGACAGTGTCGCGACAACTTCGTGACTTGTTTAATGAGTTGTTTGAGATAACACTTAAAGTATCCTGTAACAGTTGCCCGTCTAGAAATGCTTACGGTTACACCGAGGGGAAGCCTTAGAGTAAACAGTAAAGGAGCCAGTGAAAGTACCTACGTTTTCAATGCCTGCTGCGGTACCCTCGGATTCCTAGCTCTATGGCCCGCACCCGTGCCTGTGATGCACTGGGTTATACACCTCGTTTTGTCTACTTGATGTATACAGGTTGAACACGGATGAAATGTGCATGCAACACTTAATTACAAATTGTGAAGACACAGGCCTTTTAGGGCTCAATTAGCCAACTTAGTATAGTCGCGCCAAACGCTATTCCAATTGTCAAGGAAGGCCCCACTTCTGCAGATCTAGACTCCCAGACCCATGCCCGAAATACCTAAACCGCTTATTCTAGATCTCACTGAATCCTCGAGAGCCATCGTTCCGCAGGTGCCGTCAGAGCCGTCAGGCTACCAAGAGCAAGTGCCGAAGTCTCCCCCAACTGAAAACGCTGCAGCTTGAGCTCAATGCCGTGGGGTTCTTGAAAGGGTGTTTCTTTCTGTGCTTAGGGCTCCTAGGTTCCCAGAGGGCTTTTCTGGGGTCCTAGTATCCTTGTATGGTGAATTCTTGCCTCTGTTTGTGAATCTATCATTCTCGCTTGTGTCTCAGTCTCGTTAACAGGTTTGGGTGTCTTGGCGTGTAGACCGTCAAAAAAGCGACAGACACTACAGCCCCCCAGAGAGCACGGACCTACATTTTGAGGCTTTCAGGTGTCTTTTGCTGCCTTCGTTTGCGGCGCATCTTTTGCTCCGTGGGCTCTTGAGCTTCTGTCGTTACGGTTTACGCTCCTTGCCTGTTAGCACAGGAGTCCGAACAGCAGCTTAACATGAAGGTGGGTTCCCCACCGAAACTGTCAGTTACGATGCTCCGAGCTCCATGCCCTACCTATAGTCTCCATTGTAGTTCCTTTTTTGGTTAACCAGTTTTATGGTTAGGACCCTATAATAGAGATTTTGGTTAACCAAAAAAATGGAACTACAATGGAGACTATACAGTAAAAGCCAGAAAGTTGGAATATAATTATCCTAAACCCTTTATGGTAAATTATAAGGTCTCCTACCATGAAACCATATTCCAACTTTCTGGAGTTCCCATTAGGTATGCCCGAAGTATCCCCAAGCTGTTCTCCTCAGAGCAATTCTTGTCACAGTGCCAAGTCTGGTTGATGCTGCGGCAATATGGGAGTTTCCGAAAATTAGGGGTACCTTAGTTTGGGGGTCCTTATAATCAGGATCCTACTAGTTAGGGTACGATATTAGGGTTCCCTATTTTCGGAAACTCCCATATTTGGCAATTTTCCTGCCGCCTCCTAGCACTGGGCAGCACCAGCACCTGAAGGGGCTGCGCAGGTTAGAATGCATGTGCCAAAAGCACAGCCGAAACCCCAAGCTCCAGACCCAAAGCAGTCCCAAAGCCCTCGACCCGAACCCTGAACTTGCCATGAGGCATGGGGGCCTTCGGAAGAGCAGCGATGGCGGCAGCAGCAAACCGCCCTACAGTCGGGTCGGCGATCGCTCTCCGAGCTTCAGCAGGCTAAGGGCGGATGGTAAGGTCTAGGGCTTAGGTGACGTCTGGTATTTCTGGAGTTCCCTGTAACCTCCTCAGCCCAAAACCTTCGGTTTCAACCCTATGAGCCCTAAGCCCTATTAGCCCTAAGTTCCTAAGCCTAAACCATCAGCCCTATAACCTAACCCCCGAGCCCAGAACTCCTAAGCCCTAAATCTAAGCGATTTACAGGTGGGTAGTTTTAAGGTGGGTAGTCTCCCAGACGCCTTCCATACCAGTCCTATAAGGTAAAGGGGTCTTATGGGAGTACTATGGAAGAGGAACTACCCACCTGTAATGGGCTTCTACTAAACCCCCCCAAAAAGCAAAACCCTGCAACTTAAGCTCAGCCCCCGGGGGTCGAAGACTTGAATCTCGAGCTCTTGCTCTACTCCTCAGGGACCAAATGACCCTTATAAAGTAGGGGCCTATATACCCATGTACTATGAATCTCTATATGGTATATGAACCTTAAACCCTTTTAGGGTTCATTTCGTCCTTAAGGCTGTTCAGCAGGTGGTTTTAGTACATTTGTGTTTGGGAGTTCTTGTTTGCTTCTTCTTCATGGGCAGCGGCTGCGGGCTTTTAGTGTTTAGTGAAGCTGTTTCAAGGGGTTTTGTGATAGTTTTGTGGCTTTGGGGGTTTAAGGCAAGTAACGCTTGGGAGGTTCTTGGCGCGCCAGCGCCGCAGGTGACTTTGCCGAATGCTGGCGGTATTCCACTTGGTGCCATTTTTTGTTAAAGGAATCGGCTGGTTGTTTCTCCCAGAGTCCCAGAGGCCTCTGAGAATGTTTCAGGCTTCCACCATATTCTGGGGCTGCGCCGGTTTTGGGGGAAGCTACCAGAGTCGTGTGTGGGGTCTGGCATCTGCAGATTCTGACGTGAAATCTGTGCTTCCGAGTTTTGGTGTTGAGCGCACCCCGAAAGAAGGATCTAGGGAGCTATGATTTACACACTTGGACATTCTAGGATTTGTGGCCGGGTGTGGGGACGCCACCAAACGTTCTATACTCCGGCAATGCCACAATGCATGAGTGGCTTATACCATTAGGATCCTGACCATAATCTTGGGTGAATAGAACTGCGCTGCGATGGAGACTCTCCCTGTCTCTATCTCTGTCGCTATGTACAGCCCAAAAGTTGGAAACCCAATAGCCTCAATCCTTAAAGTAATGTAAAGGGAATCGAATCCCAGCACTATTTGGCCTGACTCGGGTTTCCAACTTTATGGGGCTTACTATATATAGATGGATGTGTGTATGTATATACCTACATATACACTGTCGGTACTCCTCTATAGTGGGAGACGTGAGCATTTTCCAGATTACCTAAGAGCCAATTTACGTATGGAGTGGGGTACTGCGTTGCTGGTCTCAAGCGAGCTGCGTGGATGACGCATGATTGTCAGCTTCTCCACCCCCCCTACTTAAACGTGATGCCAACCCGTAGTAGTCATGTTGGTTGCCGATTCCCGGCTGATGCAGGATCTGAGCCTGGGTTGAAAACATGGGTGCTTTCAAATTCAGTTATATAGAGAATGCAGGCACCATGTGCGTTCCACAACTCTGTCGCAAGCGAGTAAGCAGGTCCTATCCACCAAGATGTTCACATGTGCCCCCTTGTCTGCCGCAAACTGGCCATCATGTTCCACAACCTACTTATGTAATCTTATGCATCCACATGCATGCACTCACTACATAGAGCTTCCTTTGAGCTTCCAGCCCCGTATCCTCTCCCGGCAACCCTTGCATCCGTAAAGCTTTCGCGTCAAACCTTTGATGTTGTTATATTGGTGTTGGTTTTATAGTTTATATCTCAGTACTGCTTCAATAGACATTCTGACCATTGCTATTATCATGATTGTCATTATTGTTGTTATATGTTTTGCTGAGCAGACTTGTCCATCAGAACCCATCAAGCCCCGCACACAACTTAGAAGCCAGTATCGAAAGCCTCGTAATCACATGAAAACTCCCAGAGCCAAATACGACTTTCCCGGGAAGCATGTGTTTGAATGATGCTCCAAGTTATGCTCTAGACTCTAAACTGATTGTTTGTTGACCTAAGGTTATCGGGCTCTTGCTGAAACCCCTTTCAAGTTGATTTCATGTTTGCCAAGCCTTATAGCCTAGTGGCGCCCCTTTCCATCCAAGAAAACATCCGGTCAGAGACCATGTTTCCATCTCTTTGACCCCCTCGCTTTAGGACCCCTCCGTGGTCCGCGCGCTGTCGATCGTCCACAGCCTGGCTGCGCAGCAGCGGTTTCGGCAGGCCAAGGCCAGGATCGTGACTTATTGCAACTGTGATTGGTTTCCAGCAAGATTATGACCACGGCTTCCATGTTTAGAAAGCTTCTGCTAACGCTTACGTGATCAAGTCATCAAGTTACGACAACAAAAGCAACAACAGTAATAATGAGAAGAATAGGAATAGAACCAACGGTAATAGCAGTTTATATTCATAACAACAATTGTAGTTTGACTCAGCCTGGCTTTTCTGCTCCCGTCATTCGGGCATAAAAGTTTGTCAGAGGGACTGAGCTACTGTCCAGGCCCTAGGTAGACTAGGTAGGCGTTTGAGGATTTCGTGTTTTTCCATAGATCTGCTTAAGGCATCCGAGAACGCAGTTGTCGCGTGATGACTAAGGTAACGAATTATCCCAGACTCGTAGAACACATGTAACCATACTTACCCTAAACCCTCCACCAGTGGGTTTTCGGCTGGAGGCCCTTGGCGATTGTTCGTGCTGTTTGTGTTTTCAGGATTTGGGGCTTTGCGTGTCATCCCGGTTGCATGGGCGTACAAGGTGAAAGGGCAGATATTTTGGGGCCAATAACCAACCACCGAATCCCCAACTGAATCCTTAACAGATCCAAGGGGAGCCGCAGTGGTTCTTGAAGAGATTATCTTACAGTCCTCATGCTTTCATTCGTTGCCTGAGATAGTGTACTTATGTGCTTTCAAGCTTTACCCTGAAGTTTGATAGCCCCGTGGCAAGGCTGCATTGGTAGCCGCAAGGCCTTTGCTGGATGAAGCGGTGCTGCACCAGGAGGCGGACTGCCGAGGGTGTCACAGCCTAGGGCTTCGGGTCGAGGGTGAAGTTAGCATGAAGTGCCGCGCGCATAGGTCTGCAGCCATCATGACGAATCAATGTCCAGACTCTGCTTGCCAATGTGCACCGTCTGCTTGCTTTCTCAAATCCTTGTCTGACTACCCGACTACTCTTGCCAATGATGCTATGCCTTTTGACTTGCCTGCTTACCTGCCGACGACGACAGCTGCTACGTCTACCGCTCCTCCTGCTCCTGCGCTTGCTCCTCCTACTCCTACATATTCATCTCGCAATAGTGGTGGTTGTGATATTCGAGTTTGAACCATGAAGAGACTACAACGAACAGGAACCATGGCAATGATCAACAAATTTGATAATACTGTTGAAATTCTCATAACCAATTCAATCGTAACAATGAGACTAAGGCTAATAATGACTACAACTTCAAGCCTGAGAGCTCGGTTCGCAGGCGGATCTGGCTATGTCCGAATCGAAACCCTCACCGAAAGCCTCAAGCTCCTAAAGAACACCTGAGTTTACAGTAGGGTTTAGGGCTTTAGGAAATGGGATTACAGGGATTAGGGATTATAGGGTTCAGGGTGTAGGGATTCGGGTTTCGGGAATATAGGGTTTAGGGTTTCTGCAACCGGGTTCGACGTTTCGAATGCCTGGGAGAGAGCGAGACAGAGAGCGAGAGAGAGAGAGAGAGAGGGGGTTTCGGGATTATAGGGTTTAGGGTTTAGGGGGGGTTTAAGTCTGGAACCCTGGGGTCTTTCAGTAGTAGTGCCAAAGCTGTAGCTTGGGAGAGAGGTTAATGAGTACCTCGGCTAATGTGCTGAGAGAGTGGCCAATGTGCCGGTGTTGGGACTGGATTCCTCGCTGTGGTTCGTCCGAGAGTGAGTGCTGAAACCTTCAACTTACACCCGCGTCATTTTTCCCCCCTGTAAATTCCTGAAAGCCTAAACCTTACGCTGGACAAAAAAATGTGCAGACATGGTATATTCATAATATGTACATATATATATATATACACACAAACAACACACATACATCTCTCTCTCTCTCTCTCGCTCTCTCCCTCTCTCTCTCTCTCTTTCTCTCTCCCTCTCTAGTTTCAATCCCATATGCTTTCAAACCCCAAAACCCTCGGCCGTGATCGGCAGGTGAACCTTCTGCGCTTCGAGATGGGTGAGGTGAGGAGACCTCGAAATGAATTGCGTAGGACTCGGACTTCAGGGCGTGGTTTCGGACTTCGGGTCTTAAGGTTTGGGGGTTGCGGTTAGGGGTTTTAGATTTATTTAGAAGGTTCTAGGGGTTTAGAGTTCAGGGTGGGTTTCTCGGGTTTGCTGCCGATCGAGGGTTAGCATGCCTTGTCCAAGCAAAGGTATTTGCTGGCTGTGCTACCGACCCTACAATCGTGAAAACACCTTGCTTTCCAAAATCCTGCAAGACTTTTGCTTGCTATACCCTGAACAAGCTATAAAGTCTCAACCCTCTACCCTAAGCCGCCTACAAGCCCTATAAACGCCCTATGAAAACCCAAAAGCGGAGGTCCCACCAGCCTTAAACCCTAAACTCAAAGCCTAAAGTGGAGGCCATACCCTAAACCCTCCACCCTTGAAGCAACCTTAAAGCTAAACCCTATACAGTAGAAGCCCGAAACTTGGAAACCCAATAGCCTCAATCCTTAAGAGTACTGTACAAGGAATCCCGGCACTATTTGGCCTTAATCCGGTCTCCAACTTTAATAAGGAGTTTACCAAGAAGTGGAAGCCCCACCTTAAAGCTCATAAACTTCATAAACCCTAGCCTATAAAATACCCTAAAGTGGAGGCCCCACCTTTCTTAACCATAAACCCTTATAAACCCTGAATCGGACCCTAAAACCTATAAAACCCTAAACCCTATAAAGCCCTTAAACCTTAAACCCTAAATCGGAGGCCCCACCTTTCTTGACCAACCGGGAAGCAGCTGACGACTGGCTCGCCGCTCGCGTTCCCCCGGAGGCAGTGCTTGGCCCGGCAGTGACTTCTAGGGTTTCTATCGTTAGGTTAGTATCGTTAGGTTAGTACCCAGAGACTCCAATTTTCCTTATTTGGGGAGCATACCTTAAATCATGTTGAGGATCTTGCTATAGTTTAAGGTATATTCCTTGATTAAGGGATATTGGAGTCTCTCGGTAGGGAATGGAAGAATGGTGGTAATAGTAGTTATATAATTGTACCCCATTCATCCATTCCCTAGTAACCAAAGGTAGGGTTTAGGAGTTTAGGGTTTGGGATTTAGGGTTTTGGGGGTTCAGGATTTGGGATTTGAGGTTTCGGGGTTTAGGATTTAGGGTTTAGGGTTTTAGGGTTTAGGAGTAACGGTTTAGGGTTTCGGGTGTAGGATTCATGTTTTAGGGTTCAGGGCGGCGAGGGTTTAGGGAAGTTAGTTTAAGCGTCCAAGATAGGGACCGAAATGGGATATCAACTGGGTTGTTGTTAAGACATTTGATAAGGATCTATAGTAGAGAATATGGTGTTCTGATTAGGGTCACTGAAACTATATTTCACAAGAACCCAATCGACGTTCACGGTTCGTGTCCCATACAGCCCATATGGTTTAATGTAGATTTAAATGTGGCTTAGGGGTTTAGGGATTTACGGTTTCATGCTATGTAGCTTTCATTGAGTTGGGTTTGGTTACCCGACTGAAGGGATTTAAGGTTCCGTCTAGGGAAGTGGTACCAAAAAGGCTGAAGTAGAGCACAGCCCCTATATATTCCCCAACAGTAGTCTCCATAATCCATTCCCCCATTCCCTACTAAGAACCAGACAGTCAATGGGGGGAATGGATTATGGGGACTATTATTGGTGATTGTATCGGCACTACTATAGGGATCCATCCCACCGTTCCCTACTAAGAACCAGACCCTTCGAAGGTGAACCCGATGTGCCCGGGCTTCGAGGTTGCAGGGATCCTGCTCTGAGCAAGCCCAACTCATTCTCAGCCTAAACCATGGCCTGGCGACCTCGTAGAAAAGCCAGTCTCACAAACAATCCTGTAGTATAGTAGTGTTTTGGGGTTTCCTTCTTGTAATGATAGTATAATATACCCCAAGACCCTATTCTAAGTATCAAGGCCTCTACATTATGCCAAGGCTGCATATTGTGATGACCCCTAGAGGGCTTTGAGCACCTTGGCAGGCCCACCGTTGTCATGGTCCCGAACGTCGAACACCTGATCTTAAGACACCCTCGCTTGTCAGGAAGCTCGAGCTACTGTTCGGCCTGACGGCACACTGCAGCCACTTGCTGCGGCATAGAGAGCAAGGGTGATGAAGGTTTCTATATCAAATAATTAGTAGTGGTGATAAGAGTTTAGTAGTTTGATACAGTTTGTTTGATAAACAGATATCAATAAGTAGAATGTGGGTAGAGTAAGGTTTAGGGACATGTTGTGGCATAGTGATATAGGACGGCAGGGGGCGGGGTCACTGGCATACTTGTAGTTTAGGACTCTATATCAAGCTGCTACAGTTCTGGACCAGACTAGCCCCGTTTCGGTATCCTCCATTGTCAAAACTGTAACATCGAGTCAACTAAGTTATGAGAGCCGTTATAGAAGATAGGTGGCGGGTGTCGGAGGGCTTGATGGTTTGGGTGTAGGCCTCAGGGTTAACTAGCGTGTCGGTTTGTGGTTTTGGTTTGCAGCTACATGACACCCGAGATTTTATTTCAGGCTAGCACAGTCCCCATCTACTTGGGTTCCGTGCAACTACGGTGTGTGTGTGTGTGTGTGTGTGTTTGTGTGTGTGTGTGCGTGCGTGTTTGTGTGCTTCAGGATGTGGAGACCTCACAGAGCCACCAGATTTACTGCTCCTAACTTAAGGTTCGTTTTGGGATCCCAACAGAGCTTGTCAATCTTTCAATGCTGACCGAGGGGACCTCACCAGGAATCCTAATTCAGAGAAACCCTGATATGGGTTTTCCGCGACTTATAAAGCACCCATCCCTAAACCCTAAACCCTAAACCCATGATCGGCTGTATGCGGAACATAAGCCCCAAAACACCTCATGCGAAAGCAAAGGGACTCGCGGACCCTTCCGAAAAAATGGAACTCCCTGACCCTTCGATTTCAAGACGTTGAATTTGGAAAACCATGAAAAACCCAAATCTCTATGCATCGTTGCTATGAGACTTGAAGCCCGTCGATCCCAGAACACCCTAAACCCTACAAGCCCTAGAAGCCTTGCAGTTTGAAGTTTAGGTTTTGGGACCCCTGGATCCCGCTAAACCCTCAACTATAAATCCAAAAATCCTTTGAAACCCACCAGACGGTTTAAGGTTTAGGAGTTAAAATACTTCAGAGAGACCTCGTTCAACAAGCTTTAGGGTTCAGGGTTGAAAATTTCTGCCGAGGACGCAGACCAAGCTCACATCCACCGGCAGGCTTGTCTTGCTTGGGCTTCAGCGTAGGGTTATGTCCGGTTAAGCGTAGGGCGTAGGGTGCTATAAGGGTTCAGTGTCGGGTTGAAGGTGTGGGGTTTTGGATGGTTTTGGGTTACAGGGCTTGGAGTTGAATTGTTGAGCGGTCATTGGTCTTGTATTGGTCTTGTGGCTCAGCAGTTTTGGATCGACAGTTTATGTCTCATGGTTTTTTGAGAGTCTGTATGCATTTAGGGAATTTGTGTCTTTCGGTCAGGGTCTTTGCTTTCTTTCAGTATCAGGGCGTTCTGCTTCAGAATGGGGACTGAGGTTCATAGTTTATCGGACCATGGAGTTATAGGGTTTAGAGTTGAGGGTTAGGTTCTGGTTACAGTGACTCTCGGCTTCAATTAAAAGTTGAGTTTTGATTGGTTGTGGATGGCTTAAGGACTAGTTGCGTGGATGGCAATCCTGAACCTGCCTGGTGGCATCTTCTCGGAGCCTTTAACAGCCGAGCCGGGTAGCAAAAACAAGGCGATCCAGCTTGTACAGTCTGTTTCCGTTGTTTAGATTCCACTGCTTACAGCCCAAAAGTTGGAAACCCATTAGCCTCAATCCTTAACAGTAATGTATATCAAAGGGAATCCCAGCGCTATTTGGTCTCAACAAGGTTTCCAACTTTCTGGGGTTCCCTGTATAGTCCCACCACCCGGCCAGATCTCTGGCTGTATAGAACTCCCCAGCCAACTGTTCTCACTGCTTGTTTTTGAAGGGCAGGCACCCCCGGCCTCCTGAACCCTTCAACCCCAATGTCGAGGCCTAAATGGCTCCTTACGATAATTGTAGTATAATGGGACCCAAAACCCTCTACTTAGTAAGTAAGGCCCCTATATAATAGATCCCTTATAGACACCCTCTAAGGACTCCTTAAAAGAAGCCCTATTCTAATGATTAAGGCTCCTTTATTAAACCTTCGGCACGAGATCTAGTGTCTAGCAAATCTCGCAAGCCAAGTTCACCCCGAAAGACCCTGCGCTCATAACCAAAACACAGGGTTCCGAGAAAATTTGATCCCCACAATTCAGGTAATAAAGGGACATATATATATATATGTATACTCAGTGATCTTATTCTTTCATAGTCCGTCCTACAGTATTCGGGGGCATCCGGGATTCCATTGTGCTCTACTTATAAGCAGGAACCCCCAACAAACTATGGGTAATCTTTTAGGCCACTATTAGTTTTTATAGTACCTTTATAGATCCCATATATTAACCCTTACATAGAGCCCTCCAGGTTGAAGCAGATGACTTCCGACCAGCTAGCAATGGCCCTGGATTTTGCGGACAGGCCGGCCGTTTCACGGGTTATATAGGGGCCTGAATATTTAGAATAGAGTTCCTTTCAAGGGGTCCTTAAAGGGGTCTATAAGGGATCTATAATATAGGGCGCCTAATAATTAGAATAGGGTTTGGATCCCAAACTCTAAGCAGGAAGCAGATCGGTACCCGCCAATGGAGACAGAAGCCTGCGGCATACACCCGTAAATCTTGCAGACCCTAAACCCTAAACCCGAATCGGGTTCCTTTAAGGGCTTCCTTTAACGGGTTCCTTTCAGCGAACCTTAGACCGCACATCCTAAAGTCGTCGTTGGCTATAAACCCCAAACCCAAAATCCCTAAACCCTGAATCGTAGCCATGAGAGAGAGAGAGAGAGAGAGAGAGAGAGAGAGAGATGTGAATGTGTATATATATATATATATATGTATCGCCTGGAGCCTTAGAGTACGTAAGCCACAAACCCTAAGCACTAAACCCTATGTGGGACGGAAATAACTCTAAACCCTATAACCCCGACAAGCCTAAAGCCGTATCTATAGTCTCCACTGTAGTTCCTTATCTTGCAATGTAGCCCCAAAAAGAAGTCCAATGGAACTTGTAGGTAACCCTAAACGTGGAAATCGCTTGTTTCGGAAGGCTTGGAGACTCCCGGATGACGAGAAGACCCCTGCCTGACGAGCCGCTAAGCCTTGCAACATGGAAGGTTCAAGATGTACGGTTCAGGGGTTCAGGGGGTTGGGGTTTATTTGGGAGTTTAGGGGTTTGGGCTTAGGGTTTAGCCCTGAAGGGGCTTCGGGGTTTAGGGAGGGAATGTTGAGGCTTTGAACACTCTTTTCAGGGGTTCCTCTGAGGGTTCCTCAGAGGGAAGGTCTAGTTTCGGGTTTAGCATAAAGGTTCGATATAAGACCAGGCCGAAATAGTTCGAAAAGGGTTCGTCCTACAGGGCTTTCTATGTATAGGGTTCAAGAGTTCGGGCCTAGCACTTGTAGAGTTCGATGCTTTGGGGCTCATGAGTTAGAGCTTCGGGTACACCCCTAAGGCTCCATGTACCCACATTGTATCTACTTAGGCCTTAAAGTTCCTGTATAGGAACCCGTATCTACTATAAAGGTACATGGAGCCTTCGGGTACTATCCTGACCTCACCAGCACCCCAAAGAACATTCCAGTCCGAACCCCAAATCCGGCGTCCCAGGCGCAAGACTTCGTAGACTGTAGGAGCCCGATTAAGAAACTTTGGGCCTTTGCTGGGGTTCCTTATATGAATCCTTCTATTATTGTGGGGTTATAAGGCCAGGGTTTCTTAATCAGGTTCCTACATGCCTTCAACACCATACCCCTGAACCGGTAGAATCGTTCACGAAGTCGCCGCCGAGGCCCGTCTTTGCCCATGTCTCTTCCGGCAGACGTCTCGAAGGCTGTAACTGAGTTCCTCAGGTATCCTTCAGCTTACCTCTGGTTAGTAGGGAATGGAGGAAAGGGGTACCATTATAACTACTGTTACTACTAGTTACGACCCTTCTTCCATTCCCTACTAACCAAAGGTAAGTCAGGGGTTAGGGCTTTGGTTGCATTTGATTCTCGGGCTTGAGGGTTTAAGGTTCAGGGCCAGGACTCTTGTGGTTTGGATGTTGAGGCCTAAGCCTTATAGCAGAAGCCAGAAAGTTGGAATATGATTATCCTAAGCCCTTTATGGTAAATTATAGGGTATCCTACCCTGAAACCATATTCCAGCTTTCTGGAGTTCCCTTAAGGTGTTTTGTTTGATTCCCAACCCCAAGTCGGTTGATTTCAGGCCCCTGCCGGGTCGATTGACACCAGGGACATGATTATTGTTGAGTTGTCGGTTGTTTCTTTTTTTTCGGGGGGGGGGGGTGGTAATTGAGTGTCTAGAGTCGGGTTCTTGATCGAGAGGGTTATGGAAATGAGGTCAACATCAATAATCAGGAACACGTTTTACTCCCCAAAGTCGGGGGGGTACTTCCGGCAGTGTAGGATGTTGCTCATCTGCAGTGTGGAGCGTGATGTCCAACTGACGAACACGAGATCATTCTGCTCGCTCTTGCAGTTGATCAACCTTTTGAGGGGCATGCACATTTGCAACCGCAGATCACGGGTAACTTGTTTGAACCCAGAGGCTCCAATGTCCCTTAGTTAACGAATATATCTTCAATTATAGTAGGCTCCCCAGTATGATTTAAGGTCTATTCCTTAATTAAGGGATATTGGAGTCTCTTGGGGATGGGCTCTAGAATTGTGTTGGGTACTGTGGTACGTGCTGCAGGCGAGAGCCCTCTGAGTCCACGCCGGCGAAGTCCGGTGCTGGCGGAGACGGGTTCTGAGGAGCCTTTGGCAGCTAGACCCCAACTTAGTTAGCTGAGTAGCTAATCACTTAACCTCTAGGTTTTAGGGTTTGTTTATATAATTTTTTAAAATAATAAAGGACAACATTTTTTGAGCTAGAGTATTCAGCCCCTGAGCCAGATAATGAAGTTTCGGAGTCGGTCCGCATCATCAGCCCTTTCGAAGCTTCAGGCTCCCTTTAAACTCTGAAGCCCGATGGTTTAGGGGTTTTAGGGTATAGCGTTTAGGGGTTTAGGGTTTATGCGGCTTAGGGTATAGACCCCATGCTCGACCTGAAATGCAAGGATCCTTACTGTAGATCTTTGAACAGGCTCGTGTGCCTGAAAGCACCTCGAAGACCCTCGGGTATGAGGGACGCCGGGTCTCCGAACTCACAGCCGAACACGGAAGCCCTAAACCTGAAATTGTGTATTCCAGCTGCGAATAGTAGCAGGAGTAGTCGTAGAAGTGGTAGTACTAGTACTAGCAGCGGAGTAGTAGCAGTGGTAGTAGTAGCAGCAGCAGCAGGAGTAGTAGTAGTAGTAGTAGTAGTAGTAGTAGTAGTAGTAGTAGTAGTAGTAGTAGTAGTAGTAGTAGTAGTAGTAGTAGTAGTAGTAGTAGTATAGCAGTAGCAGTAGCAGCAGTAGTAGTAGTAGTAGTAGTAGCAGTAGTAGTAGTAGTAGTAGTAGTAGTAGTAGTAGTAGTAGTAGTAGTAGCAGTAGTAGTAGTAGTAGTAGTAGTAGTAGTAGTAGTAGTGAAGTGTAGCGTGTGACTGTTAAGGGTCCAAAATGACATGGCTGCAGAAATGAACCCTTGTGGAACCCCTTCGTATTGGGCACGCTTTGGCCCTTCCTAAACCTCCGCAAGCGGGTAAAACAATGGCCCAATACCTATCGAAGGCAATTTTGTCCACCTACGCTCGGGGTCCAGGTTAGGGTTCAGCGAAGGGTTCCCTAAACCCTACTTTTGACGTCCAGGTCCCTAAACCCCGAAACTCCTAAACCCCTAAACCTAAAACCTAAACCCTAAACCACTAAACCCCTAAACCACTAAACCCCTAAACTCCTAAACTCCTAAACCCTAAACCCTAAACCCCTAAACCCCTGAACTCCTAAACCCTAACTTTAGAACGCCCTCCCTTGAGGCACGCAGCAACGCGGCCCGGGCCCCGAAGAGGCACCTCGTCCTCGTGCAGGCGCCTCTTAGGTTTGAGGTTTGGGGCTTACAGGGTTTAGGGGTTTAGGGTTTTAGGGTTTTGGGTTTAGGGTTTAGGGTTTTAGGGTTTAGGGTTTTGGTAAAAGGGTTTAGGGTTGAGGGTTTAGGGGTTTAGGGCCTTTTACCCTTGGACCAGGCCTGACGCTTCGAGTGCCTGTGAGAGAGAGAGAGAGAGAGGGTTTTGGTAAAAGGGTTTCGGGATTAGGGTTCAAGGGGGTTATAGGGTGTAAGGTTGATAAGGCCGGTTTAGTGTGTTGGGTTTGGGATAGACTTCGAGCTGATCCGGCTGGTCCTCAAGCCCGATAGCGGAGCCGCGGTCTGTGTTGGTATGATCTCTCTGTGTCTGTGTCTGTGCGTGTTTTTCAGGGATTTAGTGTCTGACATACAGAGCGTTTAAGTTTAAGGGGGCTGGTTCGAGCACGAATGACAAAAAAGGGGTGGTTGATATATATATATATATATATATATATATGTAATTATACTAATATGATGACTCAAGATAGAAGTTCGGCTTAGGAGTTTCGTTGCCTAATGGCTTCAGGATTATGGGGTTTGTTGTGCGAGGATTGTGGGTTCCATGAATTACCAAGCCCGAAAGTGTAAGTTTGCAGAGTAACCTTGTAAAGCTGCATGAGCGTTCAGGCTTGTTTGGTAATCGTTGAAACCTTGAAGGTTTGTAGGCATCTTTATGTTGAAGGGTCCCAGAGTCTCTTGAAGGCGGTGGCCTCAACACCGAATCTAAGCACATGTCACCACATGTATCTTGCCATCCATGTTGAGATGTAGTGGAAGAAGTGTGTTCTTTGCAGTGTGCTGCCTTTACAGCAAGTTAGGCTCCACGAAGCCCACTTCGTCGCTGCTGTTGCTCGCAATGACACCCTCTTAACAACACTTGCGAATAGAGGGTCCTACCAGTCTACCGTGTGAAGTAGAAGAGAAGTATACTGTACTAGAATACTAGACAATGTCCGAACCACTTATTCTAATTTCTCAGGATCCTGATTTTGTTGGATATGGTGTGGCCACGGAATTCAACTTCATACCCCTCGTAAGCCATGGGCCCACGTCATTTAGGCCCAGAGTCTGGAATATACACGCCTGATCATTTTCCGATTATTGTACATATAATCGAAGTTCGAAGGTAGAAAGGCAGACGAAACCCCCCAAACTCTACTCTGATTGAGGCCCGTGTAGTAATCCAACCAAGCCCCATCAGGTGCTGGCGCTCACGCTTGGCTGCTTCGTGCTTGTGATCGCCTGCGGACGACTCCGTCCCGCGCATGCAAGACCCTAAACGCTGAACCCTAAACTCTAACCCCTAAACCCTGATTAAGACGACCCATAGCCTTACAGAAGCCAGATACACCCACGAATGTCGGTTTAGGATTTATGGCTGGAGCCCACAAAGCCCAAAAACACAGAGCCCTACGGCCTTAAACCCCTAACCTAAATAAACCCTGACCCCCTATATAAAGGCCTGAGGCCACAAGTCTCCCAGAATCCGAGGTTATGCGGGCTCTTTGGCACGGCCGAGCTGGATGTCGATCCCTGCAAGCCAAGCAGCCGAAGGCAGAGGAGAAACTGAATGTAGATCCCTTGTTTAATGATCATATACATATATATATATATATATGTATACTTAGTTCTACACACACACACACACATATATATATATATATATACATATATATATATATATATATATAGTGGTGTATACATATATATATATATATATGTATGTATATGCATATTTTTCTACGTATATATATATATACAAGTTTAGAAATATGTGTATATTTATGTATAGTATAAGTAACTGTGCAATCTTGTTAAATATAGTGACCCTTTGCCGTCAGTACTATACTACTACGTATGCCCCTTCCTCTTTGCAGGCCTTGGTTTGTCTCCTCCTGCGGAAGACAGAGTTTTCATTGCCCCTAAACCCTAAACCCATGATAGTGCAAGCACACGGGCTCGTTTCAAGTATCGTTGCTACTTGGTTAGCGGGACTCATGGTGAGCTTCGAATCCAAGACTACTTAACCGGGTATGTTCATTCAGTTCATTCAACACGTGTCGACGTTATCCTGAAGCTTTACCCATAGGCTCCATAGACGGGTCACCTTAAACTGAACCTCAAAGTCCATGATCAGTCCCAACTCGTAAACCGATCCTCAACCCTTGGGGTCCAACCAGATCCTTGGGTTTCCGAGAGTAGCTATGTAGATTAGCTAGGACCCAGAGTAGGCCCTTATTCCCTTTTCAGGGTTTAGGTTCCCTTATAACCCCCTTCAAATCGGAAAAAGGCACCCTTGTTTATTCGTAGGTTACTCTTAGGTCAAGTTAGTATTTGGGAGAGTGTATGAAGATTAGATGCTTGGGTTCCTCAGAGTAAGCCGTAAAGCCCGGATCCATAGGGTAAGGCCATGGGCTCCGCACCGCGAGATCCGAACCAGATTAGAAGAGCCGGGACCCTTGCTACGGTTGATGATATAAATCCTGCATTACCTTGAGGACCCAAAACGATGGCAATTATGGTATATTCCTTACTATGGGTAATGCAGGATTTATACCATCACCCGTAGCACCCGGTAGAAGCCTTGTGGAAGACTTCTGGGCCCAGGGGTTTTGGGGGTTTAATCGTTTAGGGCTTCGGTTTTTCAAGGCTTAGGGTAAGTCTGAGGCCTTCTAACTACTAGTTCCCGTGTTTGTCCCCTTCCTAGCATCGAAGACTACGAAATGCATTCATTGAGAGTCCTAACAGCAGGCATGAACATCGAACCTCTTAACACCAGCACCATCTATGAAGCGTAACCTCAGGCTTTACCCTGAATATACGGGTCCGAGTACCTGATACTTATAGACGACTCGCTCCGAATACTAACCTGAGTCGGGTACCACCCTGCACCCAAGTTTTTATTGCTGGATCCTTCGAGTCCTCAGGCACAAAACAGCAAGAAACCACCGAACCCTGAACCCAGAGACTCCAATATCCCTTAATTAAGGAATATAACTTAAATTATAGTACGATCCTTAATATAATTTAAGGTATATTCCCTAATTAAGGAATATTGGAGTCTCTCGGAACCGCAAGTCGGGACCGATACTCCTGAACCCGAGCTCGGAACTCGCAAAGTCAAAGTCGTGCAGGCAGCGATGGTACTGCCGCTTTGGCTCCCAGCAAGGACTGCATGTGCGAGGGTTTAGGATTTAGAGTGAGGCAGAGAGTGCGAGAGAGAGAGAGAGAGAGAGACAGAGAGAGTGAGAGAGCGAGATTGAGGGAGCGAGAGAGAGCGACGGACAGCAGTGGAGGGTCAAAAGAGAGAGTGGGAGGATTTGGATTCGAGCGTTGAAGACTAAGCAAGTTCAGGGTCGCAATTTTGGAGTTGAGGCTCAAGGAGCTTCAGTTTTGAGTTTAATGGTCTAGACCTAGCCCCGAGTAACCTACTGGTTTAAGGTCTTATATGGAAATCATATTAAGGAACCCTAAGCACGTAGATTTCGTGGGGTCCAGGAGGTGATTCAAGACCAGTTCCCTGTCGGATGTGCACTGCTGATTGGGCTTAGGCTTAGGATGTACGGAATTTCGATTCCATGACGTGCGTTTGGCCCTGGCTTGGAGATCAATTTGTGCAGCTTTGTAAGCTTTTCTAGTTTGAAAAGCAAGCATAGAGAATCTGAAATTACGAAACCACCCGTGCCCACCTAGCGCTTGCTGCCCCAACCCTATAGACCCTAAACCCCTAAACCTAGGGTAGAAGCCAGAAAGTTAGAGCATCATTATCCTCATGCCCTTAAAAGGTAGAGTATAAGGGATCGTAGCACTAATCCTCCTAAAGCCATGTTCCAACTTTCTGGCTTCTACTATAACCCCTAAATCCTCTTAGGTATCGCAAGCCCGAAGCTCTGATCTTGGTTTCGGAGGACTGGATCGAGGACGAGACGCTGAAGTTGCCCCTTCCCGACACCCAGCTTCTGGATATTGTGGGGCTCGCTTGGGACGGAGTGCGTATTTAGGTTTTGTGACTGTGTTTGCAGTCCTTGATGAAGCAGCTTTTCGTGTTGGTAGTTCGTCAGCAAGCAGTAATTTACAACAGCCGCTGCAACAACACGTTAGACCGGAACTATCCCAAATGGTCCAAGTACTGGTATAGTGTTTACCTTGGGGGCCCAAATACCTACTAAGTACTTACTATACTGGTACTTGGACCCTTTGGGAATTGGAGTCTTTGCTCTCTCAGAGCAACTTGCGGGATCTCTACCGGAACCCTTAAAAGAGCCATTTTCTAACTAACAAGGCCCTGGCTTTGTTACAGATCCATGTCAGGGGCCAGACCGTCATAATCCCAATGTAACAGCAACTCTCCTAGAATGGGCTTTTATGTACTGTATATCATCGAATACACTCCGCTCTGACCTTAAGACCCTAAACTTGTTCGGGGCATAATTAGTATCATTCTCTTCCGAGGTTCTGACGCAGATTGGGGTTTAGGGCGGCTTAGATTCCAGGGTTTAGGGGAGGTCCGCAATTGGCGGAGATTGTAGCGAACGCCAGTGTCAGAAACTATTAATTAAGTCCGGAACCTCCAGACCCAGAGACTCCAAAACCCCTTAATTAAGGAATATACCTTGAATTATAATAGGAGCCCTAATATGATTCCCTAATTAAGGGGTTTTGGAGGCCCTGGGGAGTCATGATGACGTCAAGGACTCCTCGCAGGATGCCATGCTGTCATGAGCTCTGTACGTTTTCAGAACGACTCAACAATAGCAAGGTTAATAGCACCGTCTTCACGATGTTCAACCAAGGGCCTAGGCTTCACGCCGACGCCACTTCAAAGCCCACAGGTCTTACATGATGAAATTCTGAGTTTCTGCCGGCGGGGCTGAGGAGAGCAACAGCGATTCAGAAGTGATGAAGGACTGGCACGACGAGGCCGCGTTTAGGGCTCCAGGGTTAGGAGCTTTGGGATGTCTTGGGGCGGTCACAAGTTGGCGCTATTGGGGCTTGCTGCTTCAGGATTTGCGTTGGGACGCTGGGTCCGATCCAAGCCGCTCAAGTACAGATCCTGCCCTCAAGAGAGCTTTGCATATCTGAGCTACAAAAGCTGGGCGGTGACAGGTTCAGGCCACAATAGCTCCTAGTGGGGGCAGCAGTGACAGCAATGGTGCTCTACGACGGCCATCGTTGAGTTTTTAGTGGTTAGGTTTCACCGGGGCTGGTGGCTTTCAGTTGTTGCCTGTTTGTCGACTTTGCGTGCATAGCCCCTCAAGGCCAGGCCAATTGGTTCTGCATCGCAGGCCCCATAACCCGGTTCAGGCTTCAGGCAGTAGCAAGACCCTTATGGAACGCTTGTAGAAGCCGTTCATATTTATAGTTCTTCAAGGACCCTGTATTTTAATATTAAAGAGTCCTTATAGAAGCCGTATGAGTCGAAACATTGAACTGCAAGGAGCTCATGAAACCCGAAGAAGGGAGAGTCGTCGAGCATGCGATCTACACGCCCGATGGCAGCCCTGCTTCCTGCCCAGAAAGGATTTCGGGTGCGGGTGTTTAGGTTCGGGGTGTTAGGGTTTAGTTTAGGGTTTAGGCTTAACCTTCGGGGGGTTGATTTAGAGTCCAGGCTTCGCATTTAAGCTTTATGATCCGGAACTTGGGAGAGGGTTGGGGGAGGGGGGGCCCAACTCAAAACAATCATGCGAGACCGTACCCCAAGCCCCATGAGCTCAGTGCAGTCGAGGAGTTGGGGAGATGAGGCTATAGCATGTGCCTGTGGAAACTTTTCTAAAACTCTAGGATGCCCAATAGTACCCCTATTTCCTTTTTGTAGTCCCAGGTTCGCTATACAGTTACCCCATACCAAAAAAGGGAGCCCCTTTTTATTCCAAGGTTACAGGGCATCCTTGAAATCTGTTTGCACCGGCAGCAATCGAGTCGCAGAAGCTTCGAAATCCCTCCACCTGACAGCCCTACCTTTAGTCTCCATTGTAGTTCCTTTTGGGGGTTACCTTTTAGGATCATGAATATAAAATTGGTTAAACCAAAAAAGGAACTACAATGGAGACTATAGGTAAACCTTGAACCGACAGTCGGTTGGAAGTTGATGGGTAAGGGCATGTACGCAGGTCGCAGCGGTTGCAATAGGACTTTGGGGTATGGTGTGTATGTTTTTGTATGCATGTGTATATCCGTATTTCTTTCGATTCATATATTGAGCTCTCTACCCATCGTTTTATAAACATACACATTGTTTCATATGGGTACCAAAAGCGTGCACCCACTTTTGATTTTGTTTGACCCCAGAACTATTGGGTAATTTCCGGTTTGAGTCTGGTAGTTTCGGGTTGGACCCGGCATGCTGGGGCGTTGCACAATTCCTGAGAATCCTCATGCGACCCAGCCTGAAGGATTTAGATGAAGAAATTATAAGAAGGAGCCTGAAACGTTAGGTAAACCCTAAGCCAAGGTTCACAGATTTGCACCTGCGACCTGCATGCAAAGAGCGAGCCAGGGGATGAGAGGGATGTAAGGCAGCGGTTTGAGTTTAGGCTAGCAGTCCGAGTTTAGCATCTAAAATCGGAAGCTTCGAAATGTGTAATGTATGAAGGCGTGTATGTATAGGTCAGCATGTCTCGAAAACTATCTGTATCTATATACACTTGCATGTACTTGCCTTTACCTGTATACGTAATTATGTCTAAACATGTATGTATATGTATGTGTTTATATATATATATATATATATATACAGGTGTGTATATATGTATATACTAATGTGTACACAAACATATATATATATATATATATATAGAGAGAGAGATGCAAGATTCTCACCGAAACGTCGAGGTATACCGTACAGGGTTGAAGAGTGCGGCACAATGAAAGAGTGCCCTTGACTCTTGACAACGACATCATCTTAATAAGTTTGAGTCGCGGTACAGAGTTCGGGGTAATGTAGGAACCTGATTAAGAAACCCTCGGCCTATAACCAAAAATAGTAGGATTCATATAAAGAGCCCTGATCAATGCCCAAGGTTTCTTTATCAGGTTCCTACATTACAGAGTTCGGATGTAGAAGTTCGGCTCGTTTCGCTTGAAAGCAACAGTTCTCGTTCTGCTTAGGTAGCCGAGTATCGGGCTGTTCCCTTTTGCCAGCATACCTTTATCCCTGTAGTCACCCCTATACCCTAAGCCCTGAAACTGACTTCCAAGTTAAGCAATAAGAGACGCCAACCTCATTCCCGAGCTTTTAAGTTTGAGTTCTGAAACCCGCTCTACCCCGCAGCTTTACATGAAACTTCTTGTGTTTAGGGCGAGGCTCAACAGGGTTTACCTGTGGCGCAAAAAAAACCTTCCTTTTTAAGGAACTATAATGAATGGGGAATATATATATATATATATATATATATATGTACAAATATATATATATATATATATATATATATATATATATATATATATAAACCCTTAAGGAATCCTGAAAAAAGGTAGGTCTCTTTGGCTGCAGGCAGGGTTCAGGGATGCTGAAAGGAGGCCGTAGAAGGGTTCGGAGTGCGAGCCTCGCCTGTCTTCCGTCCGACAAGGACCAGGGCTTCGGAAGTTTGGGAAGTTTGGGGTTTAGGTTTAGACATTATAGGGTTTAGGTTTAGAGATTAGAAAGTTTAGGGTTTCTGGTTTAGGAAGTTTAGGTTGTTAAGGTTCAGGTTTAGTTTCCTGGTCTGGGAAGTTTAGGGTTTAAGTGTTCAGGGTTTATGAGTTTTGAAGTTTACGGGTTCTGGCTACCTGCAAGATCGTCCGCCGAGACGAAAGGTTCACACGCTTGGACTCGACACCTAAATCCAGAAACCCTAAACCCCGAAACCCTAAGCCGCGAAGCCCTAAGCCCCCAAACCCTGAACCCCCAAACCCGAAACACCTAAACCCTAAACCTAAAACCCCCAAACCAACCCTAAACCCTTAAACCCTCAACCCCTAAACCCTAAACCCTAGATGAAGAGCACTTGAGGTGGCATATGGGAGTTTCCGAAAATTAGGGGTACCTTATTTTGGGGGTCGTTATAATGAGGATCCTACTATTTGGGGTACTATCTTAGGGTCCCCTATTTTCGGAAACTCTCATATTGCAAGGTAGCGGAAGCCGAGGAACTGACCCGGGGCCCGAAATGAAGCCGGAAAACCTCGCGATGCTCCCCGTGACCGCTTTAGGGCTTAGAGGTTAGGGGTTTTGGGGTTAAGGGTTTAGGGGTTTACGGGTTTAGGGTTTAGTGGTTAAGGGTTTAAGGGTTCAGGGGTTAGGTGTTAGGGTTTAAGGGTTCAGGGGTTAGGGCAGGGTTTAGTGCATCCCCTTAGGTGCTAGGGATTCCGAAGCATGGACTCTAAGGTGGGCCTCTTGGTAACTCCAATGCAGCTACCACAACTCTTCCAAGCCACCGGCGTGCAGCGTCTCGGATCGATTCGATAGCGGTCGTGGTGATGCCCGCATTTTTTGGAATATGCATCTGGAAACTTGAACGGGGTTGAGGGTCTTTCATGATGCAGGGCTTACTTCTTTATTATATATAAATTAAATATATCCACAATCACATACACATATACATAAACACATACACGTACACGTACACATACACACACATGTATATATATATATATACACACATATATATATATATATATATATTTATCCCCCGTTCTGTATATATATATATATATATATATACATTATATGTACATATACAGATACATAAGAGACCCCAACACCCTATTTTAAGTGTTGAGGCCTCTATGTCGGGTTTACCATGTGCGGCAGAGTCGCGGGACGGTTTGCAGAAGCCTCGACGGCCTGGTAAGATGATTCACAACGATTGGCCCATCGCATACGGTTGATGATATAAGCCCTGCAGTACTTTAATGACGCTAGACTATGGGAATTAATTATAGTATATTCCGTATTCTGGGTAATGCAGGATTTATACCATGAACCATAGTTTCAATATAAGAATGTACTACATACTCGACGACGAACCCCGGGCGTGGGACCTCGAGCCTCAGCGATGGCTCTTATTGCAATGTTGAATCGTTTCATCGATGAGGGTTTTGAGGGCAGGACATTGGGGGGTGTGGCTCTCGGGTTTGAGATGTTGACGGCATTTAGACTCTCAGCTGCTGGCCCCCTTGACTTTAAGTTAAATATAGATCTCTATTATGGTAACTTAAATGATATTCTTGAACCCCTTATAGAACCCTGTATGGAGCCCTGAATACTGAGGCTGCCAAATGGGCAGGTGCAGGGTGCGATGTTGCTTCCTGTCCCCGGTGCAGGCCCGGTTTCCTTGGGCATCAAAATAGCCCAAAAGCCTTATAGTATGGTCTTTGGGCCCAAAAGCAGAGTCCTAAAGTCCTAAACCCTACAGATCCCTCTAAAGGAACCCTAGATGAGTCCTTAGCTTCCTAGGGTTCGAAGCTGCCGCTGCTTGCAGGCCTATGTAAGCACCAGGCCCCCAATCACAGCCTCCAAGCCTCGAGCGCGAAGCCCTGGTTCAGGGTTTGGGGTTTAGGGTTTTGGGTTTAGGATTTACGGTTTGGGGCTTAGGGTTTTGGGTTTTGGGCTTAGGGCTGCGATGCTGCTACACGGTCGGAGGAAGACGAGTTCGACATTAAGAAAGGTGTTTTTCCACATTTTTCCTCCCACAGGCCAGCCCCAAATTCTTCCGGCAGCGCCATACTGCATGGGGACAGCTGCTTGTCATCAAATTATCAAGGTTATATTTTGTTTTGTTATATCACGTCATATTATAACATTCATACACCTTTTAGTAGTATACTGTAGTTGATGATATTTTCGTAGACTTATAATATATTTGAAGATGCACTTTCAGGTGCTGATACTCCCAGTGCCTCAGAACCCAAAGGGTCCTAGGTGCTGTTATGGATACTTCCCTAAATCATAAATAGTACGTCCTAATATAGAAACCCTACATTCTACTATATGGGGGATTGTCAAAATTATTGTCCCTTGGGTTCCTTATTATAATACGGCACCTACATGTAGGGTACCCAAAAAGGGACCTTAATTTTGACTGACCATATAGGTACTTTGGACCCTTTGGGGAAAGCCCCAAGGCCCGATACCACGTCGACCCCAGGGCCTCCCAGCCTCTTCTGGGCCCCTGCAACTGAAACCCTGAAACTATTTAGAATTTGAGAAGCGTTCTATACCTCATCATTTATGATAATTTTTCGGAAATGGAATTTACGAAAAAAGCTCCCGGGTTTGGGTTTAAGATTTAGGGTTTTGGGGTTTAATGCTTAGGGGTTAGGCAACTTCCGGTTTTGGGTTTGAGGTTTAGGGTTTTAGGGTTTATAAGGCTTAGAGGTTAGGCTTCTGGCTATTTCCCACGCCCAGTTGCAAAAAGGGGTTAGGCTTCAGGGTTTAGGGTTTCCGAAAAAGCAAAATCTCCCATACCGAAACCCCTCAGCAATTCCAGCTCTCGGCCTCGAGTCGGTTCCTAGGATGCGCAGTACTACCCTTATTCCCTTTTTGTAATCCTAGGTTCCCTATATAGTTACCCAATACCAAAAAAGGGAGCCCCTTTTATTCCTAGGTTACTCTACATCCTAGTTAGGATTCCTCGCTGTTGTTTCTATACATAGTTCCTGAAAAAGTGTGTCTTTTGGGCCACAGGCAGGCGCCATTGGAATATCTTCGAAAGTCCCTGGGGCTCCAGTTACCTAAATATTCGGCAACTAGTTTGTGGTTAAAGGGAACTCCAGAAAGTTGGAATATGGTTTCAGGATAGGAGACCCTATAATTTGCCATAAATCGCTTAGGCAAATCATATTCCAACTTTCTGGCTTCTACTGTAGTAGCCTGCTATATTACATAGGCAACTGGAGCCCTAGGCCGTTTGAGTAACCAAGTTTTGGACAAGTCCGACTAATCCAGTAAGCAGAAAAGCATGGCCGCAAAACAGCACCGGAGACTATTGGGGGTCGTTCCGTGGCTGACCCAAGGTGATTCCTGCCCCTCGTGTCCAAGACGCTCCTTGCATGTCGATTGCGCAGGTTGCTTGGTTGTCGGGATAAGCCTACCTAAAGTCTTCAGTGTAGTTGCTTTCTGGTGTTACCTTAAGGGATCCTAAATATAAAACAGGTTTCAAACCAAGACACAAAGAGTGGAGACTATAGGTAAACCCTAAATGCAAAGCTGCGCCTGGGTGTCTGTGTTGGGGTAGCTCTCTAGAAATACTGTCTCCTTGCGGGCCCTAATTTAGAGACTTGTCCGTTGGAAGTCAGACGTGACTGGTGTTTTGCTGATATCCTGTACTTGTTGACTCGATCTCTATGTTGACGAAGTTAGATCATGACACTAAGTTACTAAGCTTCAGGTTCTGAATCCAGCGCAGCAGTCAAGAGTCTAGAGGCTTTGGGACTCCGAAAGGCACTTCATTGAGAACACGCTTGTGTGAAGCTGTATACATCCCTAGCCTCCTAGTCGATGTCGCGAATGCAACCCTAAACCCTAACAATCCTAAACCCTAAACCCTAACTATCATGGTTGTCCTCGTGTTATGGACATGGTTACAACAATTCCGAGCATCACAAGAGTTGTGCTTTGAGTAATATACATTTCGTGTAAATATATCTACTCCCCAAGGCCCCAAAGTTGTTCCTTTTAGGGGTTCAGATTCAGAATCCTATGAGGTAATCCCCAAAAGGAACTACTTTGGGGCCTATGGGTTGATAGTTGAAACCATGTGTTTCGCGGCCTGGCGCCACCGGCCAGTGCCGTTCGCGCCCTAAGCGCCTTAGCGCCTATGCTTTGATTTGGGTTTCAGTTCCACTTTATACTTTGAGTTGCGATATGGGGGTTTCCCACAATAGGGGACCCGAGTGTAGTACCTTTTTTAGGATCCCCAAATAAGGTACCCCTAATTATCGGAAACTCCCGTATGAACCAGACATTTGGGCTGCCCACCGTATGTTGTGAAGTTGAAGCATTCCGGCCCCTAAAGCTTGAACTTTAGTCACCAAAACTATTTGTTGCGGGCTCTAAGGCTTAAGGTCTATACTAGTTTGGAGTCCCAGGGTACAGGCTCGGGGAAAATTAACGCCTACAGCCGCAAAAGCCTAAAAGTTGAACTCTTGCGGGAAGGAATATTGAGTTTTTCCGTACCTTAAACCTGCGACCCCAGACCCAGCAATGACAACTCAGAACCCTAAACCCCTAAACCCTACACCGAGTGAAGTAGTTTCTGCTGTGTGGAATCTACAGCTTTGCAGCCATTCAGTCCTAGTCTCTGACCTCGCCTGGTATTGCCGAGTGTGAGCGTCAAATAAACAAAACCTACACCCCAACATGACAACTCAGAGCCGACCCCCCCGCAGATCCCAGCAAAGGTTGTGGAGCCGGTCCCAGAGGAGGCTGTGATTCTTTCATAGTTCTGGGCGAGCTTCAGAATATTTGGAGGTAACCCATAATAGGGGACTTGTAACCCTACTTATAACTACCCATAAACCTCCAAGTAAGGCACCTAAGCCCTGACTCCTCCAAGCCACAGCTCATTTCAGGGCCCAAAACAACCTAACTGCTGAACTATTCTAATTGCCCCTATCTTAAGGACACCAGAGTCCTCAAAAGGGAACGGGACATCCGTATCATAATGCCCTTAACATAAAGTGGAGGCACTCCCACCAACATGATCTTTCATCCATGTTCGACACCTTTCTGAAATTTACTATACTATCGCCCTAAACCCTGAACCTCCCTAAACCCCCCAAAACCCCTAAGCTCTGAACCCCAAAACCCCTAAACTCTGAACCCCCCCCCCAAAAAAAAAACCCAAGACCCTAACAACCCTAAACCCTAAATCCTAAACCGTAAAGCCCCTAAGGCCCAGGAAGCCCCAAAACCCTAAACATCTCAAAACCCCCGAAACCCTAAAGCCCCTAAGCTCCCAAAACCCCTGAACCCTGAAGAAATCTGAGTGCTCCGAAGCTCCTGGCGGGAGCCGAACTCCAAGATCCTTTAGTTAAGGAAGATAACTTAGGGGTGCTTAGATACATTTTTAAATTTTGGGTTAGTATAATCCCTAAGAAACAGCTAAAAGTTATGATTTTTGCTAGGGTTCTAAGTTCAGTCCAGGATAACTTAAAATCTAGTAGGGGTCCTTGAATGATTAAAAACGGTATATTCCTTATAACTCAGGGATCTTAGAATCCCATAAACCCTGAAACCCTATCGATCCCTTAAAGGGAACCCTAGGTGTATTCCTTCATTAAGGGATTTTGGAGTCTTCTGGGAAGAGGAGCCGACCCCAGCGTTCGCCAAAGTGGCAGAGGAGGACAGTCTGGTTGCTTACCTACCTTAAGGACGAAATGAACCCTTAAAAAGGGTTTAAGGTTCAATATAAGGATTCACAGTATGTGGGTATATGGCCCCTACCTTTTAGGGTCATTTGGCTTATATGTACGTATATATATACGTATATATATATATATATATATATATATATTTCCGGGATTTCCTGGCTGTCAGAGGTGTTCGCAGCTAATTACAGACTTGCAAAAGCCCTCTTAAGTGGCTCAAAAGCGATAGCCAGAGGGTGGCGCCAAAAGGAAGCCGGCGCTGCTACTTGCGGACGATTGCCGCTGAGCAGCCGCAGCCAAGCATGCTGCAGTTCCTTTGGCAAAAGAAGGCCGGGGTCCCTGACGACGGATGCGCTATCCAAGCCGTCCCTGTACAGTCGCCACGCTTCTTCCCAGCAACTGCCCAGTGAGTACAACGGCTTGTCTCGGGTCACGTCATCTCCGGCCATCTCACGGATGGCCTCGCCCCAGTCGAAGTCCTGCATCCTTTCCTTGAAAGTCGCAAGAGTAGGCATTTCCTTGAGCACTTGTTGTCCATCATCGTAGACGACATCGTCTTCAAGGAGGGTTCGGGCAGCTACAGTCCAGGCTTGGTATTGCTGCGGAGTCCATGGCCGGATCGCCTCGTCTGACTGCAGCATCTCGATCTCGGTGATGAGGAAGTGCAGCACCGCCTGGAGCTCGGCCGGGTAGAGGTGGTGCTTGGCCGCAATCTTGTCGAGAGCCTGGTAGCACGCTTGGGGGTCCGTGGGGGAGTCAGCGTCAAAGAAGAAGTCGCAAAGAGCTCGGTAGAAACCTTGTTGCCAGCTGGTCCACTCGTGAGCGGCGATGTGGATGTTCTGCTTGGCAATCTGGCTTGGTGGAGCCAGAGTGAAGTTCTCGATCTCCTTTTGTCGACGCTTTTTGCTGCCATAACCCGGGGCAGCTTCGGACTTTTTCTGCCCAAGGGTAGGCCATCGCTTGGCACAGTGGGAGGAGGCTCGGACATGGTCTTCGAGCCTTCCCTCTGTCCAGAACTGCTTCTGGCAGACCAAACAGACAGTCCCAGCGATGAAGTAGCGATACTCTGCGCAGCGACCGTGAACTTTGAAGAAGTGGACGCCTAGAGCAGCCCTGCTGCGGAATGACCTTCTGCAGGATCGACAAGGCCAAGCAGCAGAACCTGTTTGGCCGGGATTCGCCACCGTTTTGAACAGGGTCCACAGACAGATCTGGGTAGTCATGTCCTCCTGGTACACGGTAAAGTCCTTCGCAAGCTGCTTGTTGGTGCGTCTCTTGATCCTTTGTGGCGCGTCCCTGAGCAGTTGCCACCACTGCGGCCAGGCCGCTTCGCAAGGACGAGGCCAGTTGGCCTCATCTCCATGGACCAGCCATGCGATGTCCTGTCGCAGTTGCCCAATCCATGAGCCTTCGTCTTGTAGAATGGCCCAAAGCGTTGCCGGTCCTGCTTTGGCCATGGAGACCAGCAAGGATAGACGACTCCGTCTGGCGTAGAAGGAAAGTGGCCAGATCCCCGTCACCCAGTGCGCGAGTGGGGCCGGGATGCGGTAGAAGTCAGGACCAGAAACCTCTCGGCATAGCAGACGCCGCACCAGACGCGAGAAGCCATCAGCCAAAGCCGTCCAGTTCTTGCTGTCAACCTGCCAAAGTGCAAGGTTGAAGAAAGTGGACAGCACGGTGGACTGGAAGACCGCACTGCGAGTACGGAGAGTCAGATCTCTGTTCTGCAGCAGGAGGGACTTGGCCGCTTCATATGAAGAAGCCGCCAGGCCCAATCGGTGTCGGACCTCTTGTCCCAAGTCCATGCGGCCATCAATGACGCCGCCAAGATGACGGTAGTAGGGGACAATGTCAATGCTCAGCTGAAGATCCTCGAGGAAGAGCGCTGCTTTGCCCGAGGAGAAGAAGCGGCGACGAGCCCGAACAGCGCCTTTGCCCCGGAGCTGAATGATCAAGCTGGTCTTGTGGCGCTTCAGGCTGACCTCCATTCCGCATGACTGAAAGAGCCCAATGACAAGAGAGCCGACTCGTTTGGTCTTCACCAGTAGCGCTTCGGGCTCGCTAGACTCCAATGGGAAGGCCGAGTCGTCTGCCCATGTAGTGTCCCAGGAAGGCTCCTCGAAGCCTTGACCCCCGGTTGCGTAGATGCCGGACTCCTGGTCGAAGGGTAGTCTGAAAAGGAGACCCTCCGCATCCATGCACTCGTGGACCTTGTAGAGGACCTTTGCATATATAAATGCAAAGATGGTATCCGCCCAGGCCTCGCCTGGGCGAGACCCGGCAAAAGCCTGTCCGATCTCATCGCCCTGGGAGTACCGGGTGATAAACCAGGTCCGAAAATGCATGTCGCGTACTGCTTGTCTGATGGGAGGCGGGACGTCAAATGCTTCCAACATACCACCTTGTTGGATAATGGTGCGGAGCTCGTCCACATCGTCCTCACTGAGCTGAAAGCGGCGGAACAACCAGACCAGCGTGGAGTCTTGTGTGATAACCCCTGTGGCGACCTCCCTGATCACCCGGTAGTAAGCGCTTTTTGTGTCAACGAACAGCGCCGCCGCGCTGTGTCCAAGCCGGCGACACCGTCTGAAGTGCGAGGCCACATACAAACTTGGAAAGAGGACTGGAGCCGAATCTCTCGTTCCAAAGTGTAGCGGGTGCAGTGAGCACTGGACCTCGCCACGGATCTTGGTCCGGAGGGATTTATGCAGCGCTTTGCCCAAGTGGCTGCTCAGGAAGATGCTGCGGTGACTCTCAACCTGGCTTTGCATGCCTGATCTCTTGAACAATTCAAAGAGAACGCCTCCTCTCCATTGAATCGGTTGGCGGAAGGTGAGGAGGGATTTGAGGTACAGGGGGTACGTGACCTGCGACATCCCTGTCGGGCATGCAGCGAGCAAATCGCTTGGGAGACCATCTAGTCCTCCAGCTTTCCCAGGCTTGACTTTCCGCATCAGGCTCTCGAAGTCTGTGAGTGACGGGAGCCATTCGCACTTCCATGTAGTCTCCGAGTGCTCCATCCGCTGTTCTTCACGCAGAAAATCACTGGTCTTTCGAATGACACTTTGTTCTTGCCGTCCGAAATGCAAGATCCAAATTTGATCACGATCCTGTCTGGACCGGGCCAGCTCGCCTGAGTCCGGATGCAGTAGGGCCGGAAGAGGGCGGACCACAGGCCGCGTCTTTTGGCCTCCAAGTCCTGCGCGCTTTGCGCGCTGTAGAACCTCAGAGACCCCCTGCGGTCCTTCTCGGACAATGGACCCCAGCATGTCGTTCTTGCCCTTGGCGATCAAGGTCTTGATTTTCTTGGTGACGAGCTTGATCGCTACCGCAATGGTCTCGTAGAGGAAAGCGTGCTTTCGGAGGCCCTGCTGGTTGGTCAGAGGGACTCCTTTCTGCCAGCATCGGAAGGCAGTCGCCGCAAAGCTGCTCCACAGCTGTCGCCTTGAAAGAGTTTTTCGTCGCAGGCGGAGCTTGGCATCCCGTAGTGTCCACGCCTCATCGGGGATGAAAGAGGATCGTCTTGAAGTAGGGGGCTTCGGGAACCACCAGCTGAGGGCGTCCTGTAGGTAGTCCTGAAGTCGCTGGCAGTGTTCGTCAGGATGGACATGCCAAGCAGGCTGTGGGAAGCTGTCGCAGATAGACTGTAATCGACACCGTCCTTGCTCTGTTCGCATGGCCTCAGTGTCATAGCGCGGGAGCTGGAGACGAGCTTCAAGGCTGCTTTGGAGTGCTTCTCCTTCAAACTCCAAGACAATCAATTTGTGATCTTCATTGGGACTACCATTGTCGAAGCCGGGCACGGAATCACTGACCAAGGAAAGAACCTCGGCTTTCCCTCCTAGGAGCAGGTAATCGATCCTGCTTTGCTGGCCATTGGGATGAGTATAGGTCGCTGGGTCCCCTTTGTGGAGGGACCCATAGGTGGCGGGGGCCCAAAGGCCATAGTCGGCCATGACATTGGCCATCAACCATCCAGTGTGATCGGGAGAGTCGAAGGTCAGGGAACCCGTGACACACTGGTAGTTTGTGGGCAAACGTCCATTCAGATCAAGACCAAACACCACAACTTGGGCCTGTCTGCATCTGGCCAGAGTGGGTTTGAGGTCGTTGAAAAAGGCATCTCTCTCATCAACTCGTCCCGCATGCGGACAGTGCCCTGCCAGAACTGCGATTTTTATCCCAGACTCCACGATCTGTATGGCCAGTAGCCGGGGTCCTTCGAAGAGGAGCTCAATGTTGGCTTCGTCGACAACAACCGGCTTGCCGTTGAATTGGATGGCTCCCTTTTGCCTGTGCAGCCAAATGGCTGTACCCCAATGGCCCTGAGATTCAGAGGAGAGTCGGAGATAATGGGGTCCCCGGCAAAGACCGGATGCTCCTTTGGTCTCTTGGAGCATCACAATCTGCAGGCCTTCGGCGTGGAACTGATCCTCGATGTATCGATGAAGCCCCCCGATGCCTTGGATGTTCGCCGATCCAGCCTTGCAGGAGAAAGGCACCGGTGTGTTGGTCGAGCCTGGGGCTCCAGGCTTGTGAGTGGGGATCAGCTGTGAGGGCTCGAGCTGGAAAGCATTGAAGTCCTCCTCTCCCCATGTGATGCCCAGGCTGGTAAGCTTCAATGCTCCGGTCTTGAGTGCAGACGCCGCCGTGGCCAACCATGCGAGGGAGTTGGCCTGAAAAGCTTGAACCACCTCGATAGAGGGCCCTGTGAGGGAGGGATCGCCCTTGGCCGCGGCCTTGGCCAGCGCATCCGCCATTTCGTTCCATGGATCCCCGCTGTGGCCTTTGACATGGCTGTATTCGATCCATGTTTGCGGGAGCTCTTTCAGGAAGAGCTCGAACTGGTGGGTGCGCTCGGCAAAAGAGTTTGGAGCGTTCCACCGGCCGGAGGCAGACCAGCCTGCAGCATTACAGTCGAAGAGGATGTGGTACTGGGCAGCGGGAAGCAGTGATCTGGCCTGAGCGATCCACA